AGGGGACTGGGACATGGGTAATTACAAGATGAGCCAGGAGCTGGGGTCTGGACTGGAGTGTGGAAGCTCAAGGGGTCAAGGAGCTGGTGAAGAAGTTGGGAAGCAGGACCCAGGGAACAGGAACCCAGGAACAAACAAGCAGGATCCAGGGACTGGGAAAGCAGGAACCAGCAGGCAGGGCTCAGGAAGCTGAGCTGAAGGACCCAGCAGCCAAAGGCTAGACAGGGAGGTCTGTGCCCTGTTGAGCAGCCTGCTGGGCACTGAACATGCTGCAAGCAGGAAGCCATGTCCATGAATGCAAGAGGAGCCAGCTGGGACAGTTAGGCCCCTGGCAGCCAGGCCTGCATGGGAAACCAGGCTCAGCTGAGGGCAATTCAGCCTGCCTGCTGCCCTGGCTCCTGACAATCCTCAGCAAACCCTGGGATGAGGATTCCTCTAGTTCTGGGAGGGGTCTTGCAACCAGCAACAAGTTGTCAGGAGCTGGGTAGGGGCAAGAGAGCCTCAGTTCCCAATGACCAGCAGCTCAGCTCCTGGGCTGGGCAAAGCCTGCTTTGGGAAGCTGAGGGGTGGCTGCTTAGCAGACAACAGGTGCTGCCCTCCCCTGAGTGCCATGCCTATGTCGAACATGAGATTGGGCAGTGCAGCTTCATCCACTAGGCTCGGTGCCTCCAGCTTTCATCATGCACTAGATCCCGGTCAGACACAACCCCTTGCTCACCCCTGACCAGGATGTGAGGCAGAGCAGGGAGCCCAAGGAAGGGCATTAGCTGGAATGTGCCTCCCCCTCCAGCAGGGCGCCTGGCAGGGCATTGGCTGAGTTTGTGGTTGGGACCTTCAAAAATGCTCAAAACATCCAGCTTGCCTGACAAAAAGCTTCCAAGAGCCATTGCCACAGCAGCCACCATTAACGCATAACCACATCAACTGGGGGCAGTGCCCCCAAGGTAGGCTTGCTCCAGCAATCTGGCAAAGTAGCTGCCGCAGTGGCCCTGGTATTAGAGATGGGGCCTCAATGGCCACGAAATGGGCACCCAGCTGGGTAAAGGCCCCTGGAGAGACAGTGACAGCCAGCCAGCCGGGTGCTGTTGTTCTCCCTTGAATTAACATAGCAAAGGGGAATGTCCTGCACTGTGCAACTGGCCTCTCCCAAGGGGGCAGGGGCCTGTGGCCCTCAGCAAAGTCACCTTCATCCCAGAGCCCATGGGGAGCTGGACCAGTTTGGGATGGTCACTGCTCAGGAAGGTGGGTGGGAGGAATGGAGAATGACACAGAGGCAATGGTTTGCATTTAACCCCTTCTGTGCTGGTGGTCTCTTTGTGAGGTATGGTCACCCCTTCACCCTCTCCCCAGTGAGCATGCTGTATGAGGGGAGGGGGTTCCTACCCCTTGGAAAGGGGGATCTCTCTTTGCTCTTCTCCCCTCCCCACAACATTGAGTCAAACCAAACTCTAGCATCACCTATCTGGGGGCAGGAGCTTCCTGGTCTAGCAGGAGATGGGCTGAGCGGGCCAGGTGTTGTGGTTGTGCAGAGAGGCCCATGCTGCAGCGTGATGCAGGGAGGGAGGGAGGGAACAGAGGCCAGCAGATAAGAGGGAGAATGCAGCTGCTTTATCAACAGCATCCGGTACAATAGAGGAGCTAGTCGGAGGCTGAGATGGCTGCCTCCAGCACAGCCTGTTGCTATGTGAATGGGCAATGCGACCTTTCCCCTGCCTCCTGCCACATGCTCCAGGCAGGGACTGTGGGGCTTGGGGCCAGTGCTGGCTGCCATTGCACAGAGCAGGCTTCTTCCTTACTCCCAGAGCCAGGTGGGATTTGGGGTGCCCACAACTGGCCAGGTCAGGGGACATCATCAGAGATCGAGAGAGGCCATTTGGCCTCATGGAACGCTCCCCACCCCGACCACCGCCGCTTTCTGGACCCCCTGTCCTACAGTCTAAAGGCAGCTCGCTCTCTCCACAGAACAGGGAGGGACCCAGCAGCCAGCAGGTGGGGGCTACGCCCCAAGCAGTGGGGAGGTAAAGCTGTCTGCTCTCCATGGAATAGACCAGGGGCCATGGCAGGCTAACCCCAGGTTCAGTGTGAGCCAGGGAGCTTCCCACACGCGTGTCATGGGCATCTTGCACCTATCTGACTGGGACATCCTCCTTTCTGCCTCCACACAAGTGTCAAAAGCCATGCACTGGACAGAGGGTGGCATCTGGCCTGCTGGACTCAGATGAGGGCTGGAGGGCTTGGAGGCAACAGAGAGGGAGCAAGAGGCACACGAAGACCAAGGAGGCACTACTTGGGGGCTACGGTCGTGGCTGGGGAATGGGAGTGGTTGTGCATCAGGTCAGTGCCTGGGAATGGCAGGGAGGCCTTTGTGATCAGGACATGCGTCCTCTGGAGATGCCTGCTCATGTACTCTTCCCCTTCACATGAGAAAAGAGATAGGGCCCTGGACTAATGGGCTGATGGTCAGACCTAGTACGGCACCTTATGTTCTAAAACCCCTCTGATGTGTCACCAGGCAAAAGAAATAATAAGGAGTTAGTATAAAATCTTCCAGGCTGGGTTTTCCAAGTGGGTGACAGGTAGCCAGCCCCATTACCTCCTGGTTCCACAGGCCCCATCCCAGCTGTCAGCCCAAGGCCCTTATTCTCCACCCATCAGTGATCGAGGGGCAAGGGTCATTTTTAAGCTGTGGCAGGAGCTGGCCCCTCTGCTCTTGAGCCTTTTCACTTCATCCAGTACACCCCATCCCTCAGTGGGATCCTGGAGCCAGAGCTGGGCTGTGGGGTTCATGAGGCACAACCGAGTTCAGCTCACTCCCTGGGGCTGGCAGCGCGTCCATTTGTATCAGTAAACACGGGGCTATGACTCACCACCCATGCCGTGGGACCCAGTTACTGGTGTGATAAGATCTGGAGGATACCTCCTGCTGCAGGAGAGCACAGGGGAAGGCAGCCTTCCCCCCCACATGGACCCATGGGGAGGTTCCAGGATGTGGTGGACAACCCCACACAACACACATAGCTCCTGATGGGGGAGGACGGACAGTGCCTGTGCTGAGGATCAGGACAGAGGTCTGGCTGAGGTCTAGGAGGTTCCAGCAGTACTAATTATGCTGCCCAGACGCCCACTCCCAGCATGGACACACTGCACCAGGGTGAATTGGGGCTAGGAGCTGTGTGGCTTTAGCTCAGCTTGTATCCACGTGCAGACAAAGTCTTAAACAAGCATCGCCTGGCTATCCTAGGGCTGATGCTGGCAGTTGCACCAGCAGTTACAATGCCCCAGTGGAGGTGAGATTTTGGAGCCAAGGTCTTCCGCCACTGATGCTGGGTGAATCATTTCACCATGCTGCATGTAAAACAAGGATGATGATACAGGCTTGTGTCACATGGGAGGGCTGTCTAGCTTAATTTCTCTCTTTGCAAAATACCTGGAGATAGTCCAGCCTCAGTCACACAGAAGGCTCCAAGCTGGTCAGCTAAAATCATTTGCACTGTTGCACGCATGTTGGGAACACCTGAACATCAGGGTAGGGAAGGTATCTAACCATTTGCCATCATGGTTATTCAATGGCATGTTACACCTCCTTTACATGTGGAGAGTGGAGAATGGGGCCTTCTCAATGACTAAGGAAGGAGAAATGGACAATGTGGCATTACAGGTGCTTTACAACTTGAATTCCCAAAGCAACCTAGTCTCCCATTTCAGAAAGACAAGGGGATCTTGGCAAAACCCAATCCAGTGAAGAGTTTGGGCCATATGTGACAACCTGCCAGTGAGCAGCATCTGTCATGTCTTCTTCATTCCTACTATTGGAGACCCCTTACCCCAGAAACACCCTCTGCAGCTCTGTAGTCAGATCTGTCAACAAGCAGTCCCATTCCCTGGTGTGGCCAGGTGGAGAGATTGTGAAACATCACATGGAAGCAGTCTCTGTCAAGCAAAAACAAGCCATGGCTCCAAGCTGTGTGATCAAGTCTATTAATAGAAATCAGTTAAAATCGCTCTTTAAAAAATACATTAGCAGTTAATTAAAAACCTATTACATGTAACCTCAGGCAAGTCCTGCTGTGTGGGCAGGGGAAATCCCCACTCACCAGCACCCGGTATTTAGGGCTGGTTGTCTCTATAGAGAAAAGCATTAACCTTTGTACTGCAGTGGGCTCCGAGCCTGGCACCGAACTCCTTGCTGGTGTGTGATTTGATTGTGATGGCTGCAGGCCAGGTATTACCCCTGCCATGATCCTCATCTGTTACTACCTAGCACCCTGAAATGTGGCAAGCCTCCTATGGTCCCTGAAACTAGGGGCATTACCCCACAGATGAATCTGGCCCCCACCATAAGGAATAAGGACACAGTCCCTTCCGCGTTCCATGGCAACCTGCATTTGTCTCATCGAGTCATTCCAGAGGCTGCTTTCACTTTGGATTAGGCTGAGTGTGCATGAGGTGCCCCTAGGCAGGCAGGAGCTGGCTCCCTGCTGCTTTCCACTGGCTCCCATCACAGCTTGGCACAGCAGCTTCACCTGTCCTGTTTCAGACCTCACAGGCTTTCGAACAGAGCTCTGCTTGCCCAGAACAAGTGTCCATTTCTAGTGTCCATCTCAGATGGCTGCCTATTGAAGTCCCTTTGATGGCACATTCTCTGATCCCATGGGCAGGCACAGCTCTGGGGTCAAGAAAGTGAATCCACACTGAAACCCTCTCTCCACAAGAACAGATAGGGCCTGGCTACCCCTCACTCACAGCTAGAACTCATTAGAGCTGCCTGCTCATCCCTGCTCCTGGAATTGCTGATCCGTAGATCAGAGGGAGGCACGGTGATCCACCAGACTGAAACAAGGGAGAAGGGGACAGAAGGGACCCACAGACCTTCTCCCCCTCTCACAACTATCCAAGTTGTGACTCATTAGGTGACCTCTTGATTTCCCTGACAACCCATCTAGAAGACAAGGTTGTGGCAGGAGCTCTCCAAAAGCTCAAAAGCTGCATCTGGAGTGCATAATGAAAAGTGCTTGGAGAAGAACAGGATTAGCTCTCATAAACACCCATCCCTCCTCCTTCCACCCTCCTGCTGGTTTTCCCTACCCCACTGTGGAACAGCATTGCCAAGTCAGCTTTTCCCTCCCATGCTCAGGAAGATAAATCCTCTCAAATGCATCATCCTTCACCAGATCAGAAAATGGCCAGTCAGGCCTTCCCGTGAGCTGAAACCGCACATCAATCCTCCATGCTGCAGCAGCCAGGATGCAGACCACAGTGACCTGATATCCACCCTAACCCCTGTCCCTTCTCAGTTTGTTTCTTCTGGGATTTGACCTGGAATTCTGAAGCCCATCATGGTCTGGTCCACTGTGTTCCTGGGGCTGGAGTTGATGTAGCTGGACTGGGTCTCCAGTGTGCAGCCAGTCCTTTGTAGGAACTGAAAGAAGTTCTCATGGATAGACCCCTCTGGACTAGAGAGACAGAGGTCCTGGGTCAGGGATCTGTTGAGGCAGTTCCTCCCCAGTCTGGACAGCTCTTCCCGTATCTGACGGTTCAGTAGCCCGTAGAAGAAGGGGTTGATGGCAAAAGAAGAGTAGGCAAGCCAGGTAACAACAATCTCCCCAGGGCCCCCAGCAGGAGTGACTGAGTTAACAGAGCAGTGTAAGTGAAAGGAGAAGAACGGCAGCCAGCAACACAGGAATTGGCCCACAATGAGCACTAAGGTCAAGGCAGCCTTGCTCCCTCCAAACACTCGCTCTGGGGACAGCCGGGGAGGCAGGTTTCTGGTTGTGATGATAGTCACTTGGCTGTTAATGGAGTCTGATCGTTGCCTGGGAGTGGCCGTCCAAGAAGGGACAGGGGCATGCTTCAGGGAAGCAATCCGGGCCACTCTGTAGATGCTGCAGTAGACGGCAAAGATAATGAAGGTGGGCACGATGAAGCAGAGGGTGCTGAAGACAATGACAAAGATCTTCTTGTGGGCTCCAGGGCTCCAGAACACTGTGCACTTACTGGCACTGGTGGCTCCATTGTCTTGGGGCCACCCCACCAAAGCCAAGACTGTGATCAGGACAGATTTAATCCAGATGAAGACCACCACAGTGACTGCCAGTCCAATGGTCATTTTGACCTCATACCTCATTGGGTGGATGATGTAGTAATACCTCTCCACACTGATGACTGAGATGGTGAGAATGGAGGCGCTGATGAAGCAGATGTTCAAAAAGATCAGGGTCTGGCACTCTGCAATGCTATAGATCACCCTGTTGAAGCATGAGGAGCTGGAAATGATCCCCAGTGGCATCAGGAAAATGGCAGACAACAGATCTACCAGGCAGAGATGGCAGACAAAGACAAACTTCCTCAGGAGAGGGGTCTTGAGGATAACTACCATCACAGCTGTGTTGGCGACCAGGGCTATGACATTGAGCAGGACCATGAAGAAGAGGCCAACAGCCTCCTGGAATGTGGAAACCTCAGCTGCTGAAAAAGGGCCTAGCCCCTGAGTAGCATTGAGCCCAGTTCTGTTTGCCATTGCACCTGACAGCTGATTCCAATTTCCCAGCACCTGGACAGCAATAACTGCTTGTCAGCGCCTTCTAGAAGCAAATAAATCCATCACCATTTTCTTCACGGATACATCTTCTCTCCTCTGTGGAAAAAGTGGGAGAAACAGAATGTAGAAGAATTGTAAATGAGCAAAGAGAAAGCCTTACAACTGATTCTGACCCCAAATGACCCTGGGGATGGTAAGAAAACTTCACCTTTCTGGGCATCCACAGAATCCCATTTAAGAGTAGTTCTGTGGTTCTAGGGTTGTTGGCTGTAGCCGTGTTGGCCTAAGGACATACTCAGGCAAGGTTGTTTGGATAGATGTGATATCTTTTATTAGACCAACTAAACTATTTAGATATCACACCTACCCAAAGAACCTTGCCTGCATTCTGTGGTTGAATGTAGTCCTTCAAGCCAACAAAGGCCAGAGAGATTCAGGAAGTGGCACAGGAAAGAGCAAGGCCAGAAAAGGAATCACAAGCCAACCTGGTGAGCCTTCTCAGAGCTACAGAAATCAATGCACGGTGACCTTATCTATCCACCTGTGTATGCCACCTTTAGAGATGTTCAGGACCATAGCCAGACCTTCCAAGAGACATGGGCTCTGGCTGGCTGGGACAGTTCAGCTACATTGTGTGCATCTGTCCTGCTGCATTGGGGGAGCACTGTATGGCTGAAGCTCTTAGAATGGGGTGTAGACCCCCACCTCAGGGACCAGTGAACAACAAGCTGTCTGGTTTGACCCAAGCTATTTAGCATTAAGTAATCAACCTAGGCTGGAGTGAAACTGGTAACCCACAGGTACCTGGCTCCAGGTCCCATCTGATGTCTGGGAGATGAGTAAAGGGGGACAAGAGAAAAGACTGAGGTATAAAGGAGGGGTGTCAAACATATGGCCCATGCACTGGATTCAGCACATTAAGCCATGCCATCTGGCCTGCCATGCTCCTAGAAGAGGTGGGAATGGAGGGGGGCGGAGTGGCACTGCCAAAATCCAAGGTACAGAGCCCCATTGGGACACATTGGCAGTTGTGGGACAATGGCTGCATTAACGCCTGCAGCTACCTGGCATTGCATGCCCCATCACCACATCCAGATCCAGTCCATGAGAAAGCCCTCACAGTCAGAATCCAGCTTGTGGGGATAGAGAGAGCAAACCAGTTTGACACCCCTGGATAAAGTCTATGAAGTCTGGGGAAGAGTGACTGTAAGCGTCAGTACAAAACCAAGGGGTCTCCAGGAGGGCAATCCCTCAGCAACGAGAGGAAACCCCATTCCAGACCAGGCACACACTGCCCAGGAAATGCATAGGTGCAGCAGGCTGCCAAGATCTTGCATTAGGCAAGAGTCACTGAGGGACTGGGCACTTCCTAAGCAGCCAGGATACCCAGAGGTTCTAGAATGAGAGGCACACATGTAAGGGAGGTTCCAGCTGATGCTTCTGGGCATAAGCCAGTCATTAGCTTCTGGGGGGTCAGGAGGTTTCCTTCACTACTCTGAGTCAGCTCATGCTGGGTCCTGGTGGAGACAGGATGCTAACCCTGATGAACCCCTGCCTGATCTGACCTGGCAGTCCCTGGGCACCCGTGGCAATGAACTCAGGGCATATGTGTGTGTGTGTGTGTCCTCACTCCTCACTTCAAATCTGCTGTACCTAAAAAGGGAGATCACTTCTCCCTAACCCTGAATGGCTTTGTGTAGTTGAGGGTGGAGACTTGTCTATTGCACTGTGGGCAGGAACCCCTACAAGAGCCTACTACAGCCTCCCAATTGAAGGATCTCAGCTACACACTATTTCATGGAAATGGGGGATTTCCCCTTAGCTTGCTCCTTTGGCCTTTTGTCTAAGGGCAAGCAAGACTCAGGGGCATCTGAACCCCAAAGCCTCTAGGCTTGGGGCTTGCACGTAGGATGCCTGCCACAGATCAGGGAGTATCTGAAGCCCCAGGCTGAAGAGTCTGGGAGGTAGAATACTTGCTGATGGTAACATCACATGGACCTGAATGACTGAGCTCTGCTCAGTCAATGGAATCTGGAACTGATTTGGCTAATTTAGCTTGAGACATGAAATTAAAAAAAAATCCAGCTGTGTTGCTGCTGTATCTATATTTCTACACACTTTCTTCTGACTGCCCCTGGGCTGCTCTGGCACATTCTGGGCTGAGCCAGTCCTGTCCTCAGGCATCCAGGGCTGGTTGCAGCCCCCTGCCCAGGTTACACAGCTTTAATTTTTCTGGAAACTCATCTGGGCTGCTCCTCCAAGGGGACTTTCCCAATTAAGGATCAAATGCATTCCAAGGGTCTCTGCAGGGCTATAAATCCACAGGCAGCCTTGGAAAGTAGCCAAGGAGGCACTGACATTTCAAGCCCCTCAGGAGCCAGCTTGCAAATTAATTGCCACTTCAAGGTTGGAGCAGTGTCCAGATGAACTCACCCAACTGGCCCCTGGCAGCTCAGATGAACTCTGCAGAACTAGCTGGAAGATTCACCTATCCAAAAGGGTCTAGTTGTGTTGGAGTTTATGGCAAACATGGGCTGGTTGAGAGTCACACCTCTATCATCTGCAGCTTCCCAGTTCAGGACCTTGTACTGCATCGCTGAAGCCAATGCAAGCTTTGCCATCTGCTCCAGTGGCTACAGCAGCATGTCCTAAATACTGAGAGGGAGCATTATTTTCTCCATTTTTAACCTAAACATCACAAAGTTGCTGCATGTTCTGAAGCAAGAATTAGTACATGTGACCATGGCTGAACTGCTGCTGGTGAGTACTCAGGGCTCCTAGGGTGGTGGTGGGGAGGATAAGTGGCTTTTTGTTGAGATAAGCCAGGCAGGTGCTTTGTGGCTCTTCAACATACCATCTTTCTGTACTGCCCTAACATCAAATCTGATGCTGCAGCCTGCCTGTTCTGCTTGTCTCCAATGGATGCTCAGCCTTTTACCTGCCTGGACAATTTCTAATCAAAGGCAAATTTCCATCATAAGCTGCCAGGTTACAAAGCCCCAAATGCTGTCTGCCCTGATGCTGGGCATCCCAGAGCCCCCTGCAGCAAGTCTGTGAAATTGACAAGAATGTCAATTTCACAGGTGCTATTAGCCACAGAACTAATCAGAATGTCAATTTCACCCAGCAGCTGCTGGGTCCAGGGGATGACCTGAAGTGTGGGTTCTGGTTGAGGAGACATTTTCATGCTGAAACCAAATTTAGAAAAGGTGACATTTCCTGGAAACCAGAACCCAGCTTTTTGCCAGTCGCTACTCAGAATATTTTGCTTCCCAAACCTCTGTGCATGAACCTATAATGGCAGCATTATAGAAATATCACCCCCAGCCCCCTCCAAACCAGCAGAAGTTGGCAGCCCTGCAGGAAAGGGCTGTCCTCTCAGAATCCTTCCTTAGCTATCCTGTTTCCCCTGGCTTTCAGATCCATCCCCTGAGCAATGACAAGGGAGGGGCTCAATTCCCAGCTGATTGTTCCAGGATGCCCTCCTGGACCCCTTTCCCTTTCTCTCCCCATTGATCAGCTGCTCCAGAACCAGACAGTGGCTCTAGTACAGCTTCAGAGGTGCAGGGAGATCTCCCACTGCTCATATTCTTTGAATTTCCATGATTCAGATCCTGGGCCAGTTCCCTCTGTGTTCATAGCCATGGGTGCTGCTGAGGGAGGGTTTGAGGCATGAGGTTCTGAGGTCCCACTCATGATCTGGAGCAGAGTACAGGGCAGGGCAGGGGAAACAAGGCAGACAAGAAGGGGGCCTGTGGGCCATGCTGGGGTTGGGTGAGTTGCATAATGGCTGGTCGGGGGAGGCTTTGGGGGGAAAGTTGGGCTCAGAGGGCTGAGCAGTGTTCAGGTCTGGAGAGGAGTGGCAGATGAGTGCAGAGCAAACTGTCAGAACTGTGGTGATGGGTCAGCCTGGAGGGCTGGCTGGGCCAGGGGGACAATGTCACTGCACATGAAATGTCTTCTGGTTTAGCCTGAGAGCCAGTCCAAGTGTGCAGAGGGCTTTGGATCTGGGGCAGGAGGCTGGGGTTAGTCATGGCTCTGTCTGATCCAGCAGGACATTTGGGATCTGACAATCCATGGTCTTTGGATGGGACAGGGTGTCATAGATTCATAGATGTTAGGGTCGGAAAGGACCTCAATAGATCATTGAGTCCGACCCCCTGCATAAGCAGGAAAGAGTTCTGGGGCTAGATGACCCCAGCTAGATACTCATCTAACCTCCTCTTGAAGACCCCCAGGGTAGGGGAGAGCACCACCTCCCTTGGGAGCCCGTTCCAGACCCTGGCCACTCTAACTGTGAAGAAGTTCTTCCTAATGTCCAATCTAAATCTGCTCTCTGCTAGCTACCCAATTGTGCCCCACATGCAGGCAGGGAACAGCTGGGGACATGAATGGCCCTGGATGGGTGCAGACCAGGGCCTGCTGCCCTGAGTAGCAGAACACTCCCCAGTCCCAGTGACAAATGGAGGGATGTACCTAACTGTCCCAGTGAGCTCCCAGGGTATGCAGCACTCTTAGGGCTGGTAGTGCTCTGATTCTGCAAAGCAAAGACCTCTCCTGCTCTTGGTAGCTGGGGATGCCCCATTCCCCCATGTGAATGCAGTGCTGGGGGAACTGCTGTATCCAGCCTGCAAAGCAAGAACCCTGGTCCAGACAGCCATAGCCCCTGTGCTCAGATCCTCATGTGCCACATTTAGTACAGGCAGTGCCGGTGCTCCCTGGTCCCAAGACTCCCTGCTGGGCTGCAGCTGTAGATTGAAGGTGGAGCACCCCTGAGTCTCCAACCTGCACCTCTTAGTGCCTGGAGTTGATGTAGTTGGACTGGGCACCATCCATGGGGTGCCAACATCTGGTGAGCCTGACGCCATGGGGTCATTTGGTACCAGTCACTGTTGTTGGGCGTTTGCCCGTGAGCAACTGGACCAAGGCCAGAAAAACCGTCCAGGGGCAGCTTTGCTATCATGCACACAGTATATTCCCCACACCAGCCCCCATCCAGAGCACCCCATGCCATCCCAAAACACCTCCATCTTCCCCAGGGAAGGGTGTACATTCATGCCAGGGA